GTTTCTGAATATATAAAAAAGGGCAACTGTATGATAATTTGCAGCCTTTAAATTATATTTCAGCCATTGAATAATGGAAACTTCTCAGCTCAAGAATAGTTATTAGCTGTATTCTCAACCTAAGAACACATTTAAACTTAAGAGTTTCCCTGAATAAGCACCATCTTAACTACTTTACTATACTGAAGGCCTTGCACACCAAGATGAGCACAACTAACATGGAACATATACACACTATTTTGCTTAAGCTGGGGCAGCAATCAACATAAAAGTTCAGTATCTTGCTATCTGTATATCAAATTAGTTCCTACAACTGTGGCAATTCCAAATATGGGTGAGGGATAGAGGTATAGCATTTTACAAAATGAAATTAATCCCTACTGATAAAATTAAGTATTATTTTGAGAACACTTTCCATATGATAACATTCAATTTCCCTTTACAAAGAATTATATTGTTCAATTTGAAATGGTCCCTTTGCTCATCCATCCCCTGGTCTTTGAATCACTTGTACAATGACAAATGTTTTGTCTTTTGTTTCAGCATTTTGACATTGAAATAAGTCTTTTGCTTTGTTATCTGTAGGGAAATTCTCTCTTACTAGAAAAACAAGCTACTAAAGAAGAGAGCTGAGTAAGCTCCCTAACATTCTGCAGGGTTGAAGGACATTAAATTATTTCTTCCTAAGCTGCCACCCCACCTTCACATGTTAACTGGAATCACTAAAATGATTCATACCTTCTTAAAGCACAGATGAACATTTAACAGCACCATTGATGATGACTTATAGCAAAGAAAGTAAAAATATAATCTTTCCCACACTAGTATTTCTCAGCAGTCATCTGAGCTTTTGATCCAGAACTGACTTGTCAGTCAATTTTTCTGTAGTCAAGGACTGAGGATTAAGCAATTCCTGTTTAATGAGGGCACACTATTCTGCAATGGTATCCTTGAAAACAAAACCAAAACTGGGTAATCATTGCCTGTTTGATATAATTAAAAAAAAATCTCTTTGAGTATAGTTCATGGTGAATCTGAGTTTACAAAGACTATTTACTATCCCACTGCAGCAGAAAACTAGACAGAACCAATAAGTCATCATTGAATTGCCCAGTAAAATATTAATTGCAGCTAAACCAAGGGAATACAGGAAATAAAGTGGTATAATGTAAACAAAGAACAGAACTGGCAGTAATATGAATTGAAGCTGGACCTGGTCCTCTCTTCATAATGAAAGAGTAAGGAAAATCACAGACATCAGCTGATGCCCATAATCTGTCCCTTCCCCTGTAGAAACATCTAATAACAGCACAATGTATCCCCGAGGGCTTTACAGGAATCAGTGAGAAATGTGGGAGGCAGATTTCAGAAGAGGCTGAACAGGAGTTAATACACTCCAAGCAGCACTGCAGTTGCTCAGTCAGCTCCACGGATGCGTACGGCAGCCTGGTGCCTTGTGCTGTAGCTGTAGCAGCTGTCAGCAGAGATGTAGGCAGTGAAGATCACAACAGCTCCAGCCTCTGCGAGGATTTCAGCTAAGGTCTGACGACTCTGGATGTAACACTGTCCTCAAAAGTCATCTCGTGTATTCAAAACCTTCTGGCATTTTCCTGCCACTGTCTGTGGGAGTGAATAATTTGTTCATTCAGTATAAAGACTTTTAGTATGGAGTAGTTTATAGTAACCTCCAATATATTACTTTTTATTCCCTTATTTTTCGTTGACAACTCCTGTAATCAGAAAACTCTTCCTCAAGACTGTGAGATTCTGATTGGAAAACTGCAGACTGCAAACTGTCCTGTTTCATTTTACCTGTCTTCCAAACAGCTGTCTTCAATCCAGCTTTAGGAAAGGGAAATGTGTATTTCACCCTTCCACTTCCTCCTCACAAACATCAATTTCATAAGCTCCGTTCCAATGTCTGACAACAGCAGTTAATCCCTATCAAAATTCACAATTCTAGGAGAGTTTAGGAGTATATATCAGTTCCTGGAAAATGGAAAATAGCAGAGTTTTCTTATAAGCATGAAAGTTCAATTTAAATATGCATATCTTTAAGAATTTCAAGCCCACTTGCCTGTATAAAGCAAAAATAACCAGGCTGGGTAAAGCTAACATTTAGAGGTGCTAGTTCATTACAGAAGCTGCCACCTTCATATTCAGCAAAGAGTGGAGAACAACAGCGCAGTCCCTTTTCTCCTCACAGTGCAACTCAGGGCTCACAGAATGCCAGGAGGCTCACTGCAGCCTTCTGCTCCTGAGCAAATTTCACAGGGCAGCCATATATCTAACAACTTTCTCACCCTCAGGAGTTTAGACATTTTGTTTTTTAATTGCATAAAGCCCTTCACTGGCAAGACTGTTGGCAGTGGTGAGTTAGCCTGGCAAGGGGGAGAGCGAGGTCAGCTCAGTCCCCAGCCACCTCTTCGAGCTGTATCGCAGGCAGCCGCTGCTCTGGGAGGGCTAGCTGTGTAAATCCAGAGCTGGAGTTATACCAGTGCATCCCATGGAGGGTCTGACCCAAGGCTATTTAAATGACCTTAACTGTGTGTTCCTACACTACACAAACTATCTCACCAAAGGAGACAAAAAGACTGTGTTTAGTCTACCAAAGAAAAAAAACAAAGCCTGCCAGGGAATACTATTGCTGCTGCTAAGTACCTTGGGGGTAAATGTTCTGGAGTTGAAAAAAAAGAAGCTGAGTGAAAGGGCAACGCAATGCTGGCATGTGAGCAAATGTGCATAGACTACCCATGTGTAAAATTCAGGCTAAAAATTGGAAGGAATTTCCCAATAGTGAAGGCAGGATGGCCCTGGGACAGTCTTCCAGTTAGGGCAGAGGACAAATCAGCTCAGTTCATTTCAAATTGATGTTTAGCTTGTCTATCTGTCATATTAGGGGGACATCACTAACATGTAGGATGCAGTATCTCCGGTCACAAAGGAGAAAGCTGGAAGCCCCAGTAGACTTCTCTTTGGTTCTGTGTTCTGGATTTTTTCTCCATGTGCATGAACATTCATGTATTTCAACAGTTTGAGAAAAGTGGAGCTCCTTTGTCCCCGCTCCCATCAAAGAAGAGAAGGGCTGGAAAGTGTGCTCTAGAAACTCTCTTCTTTCAATATTACCATTAATAATGATGCTCCTAGAGTTTGCTGTCTCCTTCTTCTGAGTGTGTCCGTATGTGTGTGTTTGCATGTAGAACATCTCTCTCACACATTTAATTCAGGAGACCTGGAGTAACCTCCATGAAGTAGGTGGTACAAAGGTGGTGCAAAGCAGTAGAAACAAACCAGAGTGTATGAAGCAGTCAGAACTAGAGCTTGATATACTGAGTGCTGCACTTCTGTTGCGTGCTGCTAATGTCAAAGGAGGTTTTGGGCACCAGTTTAAGCCTTTAATGGCCAAGTGCTGCAGTCACCCTCTGTCAGTCCATGCTCTTGATTTCCAGAGATGCTCTTTCTGATGACTGCAGCTCTAGGTACGAGCCAGCACAAACTGCATGCTCAGACCATCATTAATTTTCAGGTTGTTCTGTTCAGAAGGTGGGTGGTTTTCACATAAAGGTAAAACATCAGCTTTATTGTTACAAAAAAAGCCTTTTAAAAGGTAACTATTTGTTTCCATTGCAAGTTCCTTGGAGAATACCTCTGTTTTCTGTGCTTTGTTTCACCTGCTTCTAGGGGGGATAAAGACAGTAATGTGGAAATGTGGAGAAATGTTTTATTAGGAGAGGTAAACTATAATTTTATCGTGGTTCTGGCTTATTTGTGGTTCATATACTATATGTAGACAGTAAAAAGACAGCCCAACTAAAAATAATCTTCCATTAAGAGCTTTTCTTGGGGTTCTTTGTGATGATTTATCTCCCCTAATATTGGCATAACTGGTCAATTGCCCAGATCTCCCAATTTATTACAGTCTATTGTGTTTTTGATGAATATCTGGCAAGATGCTTCACTGTGATTTTACACAATGTATTAAAAAGGAAAGATCTCAGGCAGTTACAGCCCTATCCAGCCGGCATTACTCAGTTAAAACATCTTCAGGAGCACAGATTTCTCTAGTTCCATTGTATGGTGTCCTTACAGTATGAAAACTCACAAATTCACACTGCTAATGGAATGTATCTGATTGTAATTTTCCTTTTCAGCAATTTGTTTAAAATCACATTGGTTTTTTTTTTTTTTTTAATTTTTTATTTAATTGCTGCTTCTAAGCAATTTTCCAGAAGTAAGTATTATCGGTAATTTTAGTCACTGATATACAGTGACAGACTAATAGCACTGAAACTTTCTTTGCAAGTCTACTCACAGAGCAGCTCTTTTCTGGTACGTGTGCGTATATAGATATATGTTTCCCACCCACATTTCCATGCCTCTCTCCATCTTGGATCCGAGGCTCTCTTCACGCAAAAAGGTTGCCCGGGCTCAGTTGCTTGGGTTATGCGCCGAGGGGGCTAATAGGGAGAACAGATTGGACAGAGCGGGATGAGTGTGGTCACTGGACCTTCCGACCAGACTTGAGGGATACAACTATGGAGCTTAGGACCAAGTCCCGGAATAATTTTAACGGGGGTCCAGCCCCGTGCCGTGCGGAGTGAGGAGCGGCGGCGGCTCTCTGCGCCTCCCGGGAGTCAATGCCGGGTAGCGGAGTGACTTCCACCCTGTCCCGGGCTGCCGCCCTCACGCACGGCCAGGCACCGGGCTCCCGCCCCGGAGCCTGCGGCCCACGGAGAAATCGGGAAGGCGGGCGGTGGGAAGCCACGGGACTGCCGGGACTTGCGGCCGGCTCGGGACTGCAGCTCCCGTCAGCCCCCGCGCGGCGGCGGCCCGCCAGCGCCGCCACGGCCCCGATCCCACCCCTCCCGAGGCTGGCCGGGAATCACGCCGTGTGTTTATCGCACAGGCCCCGCCCCGCCGCGCGAGCGGTGGCGTCACCCTCGCGAGCCGCCCTCGCTGCCTGTCGGCTGATTAATATTCATGAGCCGCGCGCGCGCGGGGAGCGGCGGACGGCGGCGGGATCGCTCGCTCCTTGCCTGCCTCCCGCCCTCCCTCCCTTCCTAATGGCGCTGGCGACAGCCGGGCAGCGGGGCTGAGCCGGGCACCGGCGGAATGCTCCCCGCTGCTGCTACGTAATCCCAACCCCCTGGGACGCGGCGCCGCGCTCCGCTCGGCCCCCCCCCCTCGCCGCGCCGAGCGGCGCTCCCAGCAGGGCGGCGGCATCCCCGGCCCCGCGGGCGATGGAGCCCGCGCAGCAACGAGCGGCAGAAGCCCCGGCGGCGGCGGCGGCGGGAAGCGGGCCCGGGGAAGCGGAGAGCGGCTCCCCGAGCAGGAGGAGTCAGGCGGAGAGCGGCGCGGAGCCGTCGGGCGGCGGCGGGCAGCTGGACGGCCAAGCAGCCGGCGGCCCGCGGCGGAGGCGAGGGGGAGCTGGCGGCTTCGCTCCCCCCGCGGCGCTGGCGGCCAGCGGGACTCCGGCGGCCCCCGGCGGGGCCGGTAGCGCCAACTCCCTGCTCCTGCGGCGGGGGAGACTGAAGAGGAACCTCTCCGCCGCCGCCCCCTCGCCCGCCGGCGCCCCGGCGCCCTCGCTGGGCACCCGCAGCTTGGACAGGAAGGCGCTGCTGCTGCTGAAGCCGCCCCGGCAGCTGCAGCCCCTGCAGCCCCCGGAGCGGGACTGGGTGCGGCGGGACCTGCAACGGGGTTGCGTCCACGTCTACGAGCGGCACATGAACTGCTACCTGCGCCCGGTGCTATGCACCCTGGAGACCACGGCGGCTGAGGTGGCCGCCCGGCTGCAGCAGCTCGGCCACCGGGGCGGCAGCAGCGTGGTGCGAGTGCTGGGCAAGGCGGGCGCGCCGCCGCCGCAGCCCCCGCCCGAGCCGCCGGCGGGCCCCACCGGGGCGCCGCCCGAGCCCGCGGCCGAGGGGCTGCGGCCGCCGGCGGAGGAGAGGCCGAGGAGCCGGCGGGGGACGCGGAGCGGGTTGTCCGGAGGAGGCTGCGGGGAAGCGGCGCGGCCCGACCGGCTGCCGCTGGGCAACGGCGCCGAGGAGGGCGACTTGGCTGGCGGCCGGCCGAGCCCGGCGCCCTCCGATCTCAGCCCCGGGGCGCCGCCGGCCGAACTGTACCTTGCGGGGCCGCCGCTCTCCTGCCCCTCCCTCCTGGGGGAGCTGGGGCCGGCCGGCTCCGACACCGAGAGCTTCAGCCCCAGCGCCGAGAGCGTCTCTGACCGGCTGGACCCCTACAGCAGCGGTGGCGGCGGCGGCTCGTCCTCCTCGGAGGAGCTAGAGGTGGAGCCGGCACCCCCCGACGGGGTGGAAGAAACAGGTGCGGGGCCGGGCCGGGGTCCTCCCTGCTCGGGGGAGCTGCCCCCGGGGCAGGCAGGGGGGGTGCCAGCGGGCGCGGCCGGCGGACGGGAGCCTCCGGCGGGGCCGCCCGCCTTGTACGTTCAGCTCCACGGGGAGACCAGCCGGCGGCTGGAGGCCCACGAGAAGCCGCTGCAGATCCAGAACGACTACCTCTCCCAGCTGGGCTTCCGGGACCTGTGGCGGGTGCAGGAGGAGGGCATGGACTCGGAGACCGGCTGCCTCATCCGCTTCTATGCCGGTGAGTGGGGCCGGCAGCGGTGGCGGCTGTGGGGAAGGGGCGGGGGCCGCGCCCACCGCCCGGGCTGCTGCCGGGGAGAACGCGGGGCATGAGGGCGGCTGGGCACTGCCCCTCCGCCGGGGCTGGCCCGGGGCTGTCCCCCCTCCCGGGGAAGGTGGCCCGGGGCCGTCCCCTCTCACGGCCCGCGGGTGGCGCCGCGCCGCGGAGGGGCCGTTCGGCGGCGGGAAGCGCTGCCCGGCGCCGAGTGCCGGGAGAAGCCGCGGTCAGCGGCGCTCAGGCTGCCCCAGCGCTGTGCCCGGGGCAGCCTCCACTCCCTTCAGCGCCTGGGTCATGGAGGTAGCGCGTGTGTTGTTTTCCCGTTCCCAGCAGCGGCACTGGGCGTTCGAGGTTAAATCAGCCTTAATCTACTGCTTTCCCTAGTGACGAGGAATTGCTTCGCTGCCGGGCACGGGAGGTCGAAGGCTGTTCCCAGTGTTTGCGGGATGCCGGCTGATCGCTCACGGCTTAGCTGAGCTGCGTGCTCGCTCCCTCCGGACAGCGCGGAGCTCGCCCTGTCATAGCGGAGCGGAGGGCACGACCGGCCCGTCCCTTAAAGGGGAAGCCCCGCGCCGTTTTGACCCTGCAGGAGGTTCCAGCAGCGCAGGGCGCGCAGATGCCTGAGCTGAGAGCCGTGCATTCCTGCAGTCACAATCCTGCGCTTGGCTTTCCGCGTTGTTGCCACTTGCGATCAATTTTCCCCGTTTGTCAGAGTACTGGGACTTTACTGCCTGGGACTGAGGCAGTAAGCGAGGAAAGTAGGGAAGCACAGGTCATGTCCTTTGGAAACGGGGTGGTCAAAACCTTTATAATGGAAAGGAAGAAGCTTTTTAATGAAGCTTTGCTGTTACGACCTGCAGTACAGAATTTGGGGAGTATTGGGTGGAAAAGTTAGCTCCCACGTTGTAATTATGCGACCTGCGGTTTTAGAGAGGTTTAAAAATACCTGGTGGTTCAGTTGAATTGGTTTGTATAAAATACTTACTGTAATCTTGACACTGCTTTTGTTTTAACTGTTCTTCTGTTCTCTTCAAATGGGAGAAATTAATGACCATGGAAACATTCAAATACCTAGTAAGCTTTCCTGTGAAATAGGTAAATGTGATATCCAGAGATGAGGTCATGCAAGCAAAGTAGCAAACGCCATCCATCCCCTTGCTGAGTTGGCTGAGCAGAGTGGTCCTTCAATGAACCGTGAGAATTCAGTGCTTTAGCTCTGAAAAATACAGATACTCTTTTCTCGAGTGAATTCCGCTGAATGTCAAATAGAGTCGGTAATGGTGGGGTGGGAAGGAGAGCAGTACCCTGGATAAGTGCCCTTTATTCAGAAGAGAATGTGGGAGTGGTGACAAGTGGTCAATTCAGCTTTTCTTCAGATTTTTTGGATTGTACAATGACCCCAGCATAACGAGTGCAGAAGCAGTATTTGTTCAAGGAATTGACAGAAATAGGTTAGATACATTAGGGTTAGAAAGTAGCTTAAAATACTCTTTTTCAGATGATGATTGGGGTCTTTTGTGTTTCTCTACTGTGCTGTTGAGGATGGAAATCAGCAGGTGATGCTGAGTGGGATGTTGCTTCCTCTGTTTCCAGTCCCACCGTTAAATGGGGATGCACACACATGTTTTAAATTGGGACAGCTGTGTGCCTGCTTTTCCAACAGGATGTGTTCTAAAGAAAACACAACTGGGAAACATAGTGAAGTCTTGCACACAGTTAAGACTGTTTGCATGTAGTTCTAATGCATTAAATGATTAATTATACATGCTAAGCGAGGATGTTCCAACTCTGTTTTATTTCAGTGTCTCAACTTGATTGCTAACGTAGCTTGTACATTTTTAGACTTCCTTGTACAGAACTGCCAGATAGGAGGGTATTTCTGTGAGCGTACATAGGATCAAATTAATGCAAATTTCTTGTGCAAGTTCATATGCTAAGAAGTATGCCTCTGTACTTCAAAAGTAAAGTGTTTTTTGAAACCCTTATCTCTTTGAGGGGATCTGTGATCAACATCTAAAACACCTGTGATCAGGTGCTTGTAACAGAAAGGTTGCAGCACCTAATGTACCAGACCAGCCAAAAACAGCTAACAAAATATTACTGACATGAAATCATACTGATTTTATGTAACTGTCTTGGCAAGTCATCTCTGCTTCCTTATTTTATACACATACACACACCCCACAAAGATGAAAGGGAGGGAAGGAGAGGTACTTAAAAAGAATACACACCATGTTACACTGGAAAGGGGAGTGGTTTCTTTGGCCCCAAAGTTAGGTGTTTTGCTTAGAAGAAGTACTTTTCTAATAAATGATCCTCCAGAATCATACCCTAAGGAAAACTTTAAAACAGTGATTTCCTGTTTGCCTGGGACTTCATTGGTTTAAGCAGCCTGGCTTGTCCCGATGGATAGAGAACTGCTAGCATCTCTATCCCTGTAATTTCCTGCAAGCTGTCTCAGTAGGATTTGGTGATCCTGGTTTTGTACTGATGTGAAATGGCATAAACCTAGGTTGGATTTATTGCATCGCTTCTAAAAAGAATTCTTTCACCAAATCCCCTTGGAGTGGGTGAGAGAAGAAGAGAGCACACTGAAGACTTTGGGGCTTTTTTATTTCTGTAGAGTGACAGTTTTAAGACTGGAATATTCTGTACTGAAACTTAATATTACAAATTCCAAATAAAATGATACAGCCAATAATTTTAGTGATTGCTGTAGCCTGGTAACTTCTCCGTGGAATCTGGAAAGCACAGATTAAAAAATTAGTTTTTAGGAGAACTGGGGAGAATCACATTTTTTTGCTATGACAAAACAGCTTTCTTAGTAAGTAGCGGTCCACAAACATGCTGTAAATGAAATGTCTAGTCTTTTAAAATCCCTCAAAACCAAAATGGGACATTAGAAAGGTAAAAGTGCTTCCTCTGTGTTGCCTTGGTTTGTTTCAGAATGTGGTTAGTGCATATTTATTCTGGTATCTCCTCTCATTTTCTTCCTTAACAGTGTGAATGTGGTTGATTTCTTCTCTAAGCATTAAACCAGTGATACCATTGCTGAAACAAAATCCCGTACAGCTTTAAGGGGCTGATCCTATTCCCTGTAACATCAATTTGAGCAAAATTGGGCATTAGTGACTGGTCATGCATATTAACTTTTCTCTCTGTTGAAATCTATCTTAACAAAAGATACTATCCCTAAAGTTTGAAATACTTAATCTCTATTTAAAAGGGTATGGTTGAATAGCTTTCTGCTGAGATACTGTGTTACTGAGTTATGGAAGTGTGTAAGAATCTGTAGTGCAATTACAGTCACGATATCGTCGCTGGGAGACTGATTAGGTCAGACTTACTAAGCTATTCCTTAAGTCATAAGAATGGCTGTGATCCAGAAGACTTTTTGCAAACAAGTTATGGCATTCCATATTGGTCTGTAAAAATAATTGTTGTCCCAGTGGCCCTGACTTTTCTATCACTTGCACATAGAAGGGAAAATAGACTAATACACCAATCTCATAATTTAAAAACTGCAAAATTGCTTATTTATTTTGAGACTTTTGATCTAAAATAAGCATGGAATTATATGCAGGGCTGTGTTCTGCAGCATCTGCATGTCAAGGAGTATGAGTAACCTGATCCTGGTCTTGAAAACTGGAGTAGTACAATGGGTGTTTGAGGCTTTTTTGTTTTACTGCTGAAAGGTGATGTTGTTTCTGATTCTGGCACTTAGCCACCATTAAATTCTCTCCTCCTTGATGTGACACAGGGCTTCTGCACCTGCTGGTGTCGTCAGATATATCACTTTTTAAGTAGATGACTGCCTGTAGGCAGAATACTAAGAAATGCCAGATGTCATTAGGGGTGTTAATTTTGCATCTGTCTGTCAGATTTTATTTGGGGAAGAGGTCCTTTTGCCTTGTGTCACCTTTTAGAAAGCTGTGAGGAAAAAGGAGTCTAGTTTGGTCGTAAAGTACATTATAAGAAATGATGTTCTGTCCAGTATGAAGATAAGGGGGGGAAGATCTAGTGTCATGATCAGTTGCAGTGATCTAAGCAATTATGTTTGCTTGTCTTCTTTAAAAGAAGCACACCTTTTAGTTGGAGTCATACTAAAACTTCCATCTATATGGATGGCAACGTGGTTTTAGATGCTTACTCTTAATGTGCAAGCACTGTAGACCTGGCAGTGCAGAGCTTTGTGGAATATGATGCATTCAATTCCTGGCTGCTTGTTGAGCTACTTGATGAATAACTCGGCTCAGGTATTTAATATGTTGATAAACTCGATTTAAAGGTGACTAAGTGCCATTTCGAGGGGGGAAAGCATGCCAAAGACAGACCTGCTTCTTATCTGAGGATGGGAGAACAACTGTGCCCTAAAGAGCTGCTTGTGGAGCATTCACTTAGTTCTGACATCCAGTATCTTATTTAACATCAAAACAACTAATTCACATTAATGTGAATGGATATTTTTTTTGCAGGTACGATCAGATGAGAGTTCTCTGTGAACTTGTTAAAACCAAACAGAAAAGCAACCTCTGCCTAGGGATGCCATGATCCTGAATTTTTTTTCTTCCTAATGTGACCTGGACATACGTTTTTACCTTGTAATCTTTTATATGTTGATATCTGTTGCAGAGAGAAGTAATACCTTAAACTTGCCTCTTTGGGAAACTCTTAAATTTCAGTTACACAGCATGTTTAAATCCAAGCTTGGTCCTTGTCGGAACCAAAGTAGTGACATTTCTAGTCCTGTTCTGTAGGGAAGTTTAAAATGGCTGCAGTGCCTCTGGCTGGCTCCACCTGTTCATGTGCATAGCCCTTGTCTTATCTCCTGTTGGAATGGGGTCTTTCTAAGGTAGACAACTTTCAGGGGCACTCTGAGGGTGCAACAGCCTCTCTCCTCCTGTGCAGGAGGAGCCGTGCAGATAATGCTGGAATGCTGGTGCAGCCGCAGCTGAGCTTTGGTA